AATGACCGAGCTAAAGTCCAGCTCCTCTTGCGCGACCGCGCTCACGCTTACACTTGCCATCCTTTTCCTGCAGAGTCCAAGGGGACAACTGTCATTCCTGAGGCTCTCAGGACCGAGCAGCAACCAATTACAGTGCCAAACCCCTCAGCCGTGATACTAAGCCGGCCACAAATGGGGAAATTCCGCTTCCTAGTGGATACTCCGGCCGCGCTAGCCGCTTTTAGAGAGGAGTACGGCATCCCGGCCGACGTCCATCTCGAGCTGGCAGAAGAGGAGACAACACCTTGGGGCAGACTAGACCAATGCCCCTTTACCGTGCTCTCAATTGTTGAGGGGGGCCTCCGTTTCCCGCTCAACCCTCTTATAACCGAGTTCCTTCGCCGCACCGGGCTGGCACCCACCCACTATTTACCACTATCATATTATATACATGCCACTATCTACCACCAACACCACTATCATATTCTATACATGCCACTATCTACCACCAACACCACTATCATATTCTATACATGCCACTATCTACCACCAACACCACTATCATATTATATGCATGAACACAATTTCCAGCAAAATTAATGAATGTCAAAGGTGTAAACTTGCTAAAATGACAGCTTTACCTTTTAATAAAAGTTCCTCTATTTCTGTTTCCCCCTTTTTCTCTTATCCATACTGATGTCTGGAGACCCTCTCTTGTTCTTACTAAAAGGGCTTCTGCATACTATGTGTCCTTTGTTGATGATTGTACCCGATATACCTGGGTTTATCTTATGGCTCATAAAACTGACTTTTACTCAATCTACCGTACCTTTCAGACTATGATCACTACATAGTTTAGGGCTACAATTAAAATACTATGGTCTGACTTGGGTGGGAAATACTTTAAAACCAAATTCTGTGAGTATTTGGCCAATTTAGGTACCCTTCATCAAACTTCCTGTACTGAAGCACCTACCCAAAATGGCCATGCTGAGCATAAACACCGGCATCTCCTTAAGACTGCTCGATCTCTCTTTATCTTTTGCCTCTGTACTGGCCCCATTCTGGGGTGAGGCCGTTCTTACTGCTAATTTTCTACTCAACCGCATGCCGACTCCTCTCCTCTCTGGACAATCTCTTATGAGACTTTGTATTCCTAACCTCCTAATTATTCCATCCTGCGCATTTTTGGATCTACTTGTTTTGTCCTTTTTTCTCGTAAAGATAGGACCAAACTCAGTGCCCGGTCTATCCTGTGTGTCTTTTTGGGTTACAGTCTTACTCAGAAAGGCTACCACTATTACGACCCTATCTCTCATCGCCTTTATGTCTCTCGCCATGTTGCCTTTCTCGAACGTCTGTCTTACTTTTAGATTCCCTCTCTCACTACTCCAGTTTCAAAAGCGGATTTGGTTCACATTGACCCATTTCCTTCGGAGGTCCCGTCTGGTGAGTACATCTCCACTGTTCCCCCTGACCTTATTCCATCTTCTCCTCCTGCTTCTCCGCCTACTTCCCCTTTGGCTACTTGTCCTCCTTCGACTTCTTCTCCTCCTCCGTTGTTAATCTATTCCCGTCACAAGGCTCCCCCTCCACCAGTTGTTTCTGCCCTGGTTGCTGCCTCTTCTGCTTCTGAAGACTCTGATCTTACTACGCACCGATATCCTACTCGAGCGCGTCATCCTCCAAACAGGTTGGATTGGTCTAATACATGTTTTTCTGCTTCCTATCGTACTTTTTTATCCACTATTCATTCTTTTTCAGAACCTCAGTCTTACAAGGAGGCCTATCAAGATCTCAATTGAGTTCGAGCTATGGAGGATGAGTTGTCTGCTTTGCACAAAACTCGTACTTGGGAGTTGGTTCCTTTGCCTGCTAGTAAGAATCTAGTTGGTTGCAAATGGATCTACAAAGTCAAGACTCATTTGGATGGTCCTCTTGAGCGTTACAAGATTCACCTAGTTACCAAGGGTTTTTCCCAGGAGTATGGTATTATGAGACCTTTGCCCCCGTCGCCAAAATGACTACTGTCCGTACATTGATATATGTCGTTGTTGTTCACCATTGCCCTCTTTTTTAGATTGATGTTAAGAATGCTTTTCTTAATGGTCATCTCACTGAGGAGGTTTACATGCGTCCTCCCCCTGGCCTTCACTATTCCTCTGGACAGGTTTGTCGTCGTCGGCGTGCTCTATATGGTCTCAAGCAATCTCCTCGTGCTTGGTATGATCGCTTTTAGACTACTGTTATTATGCTTGGGTTTCATCTTTCTGCTTCCAACTCTGCTTTGTTTCTGTGCTATACCACGGCTGGTTTTGTTGCTCTCTTACTTTATGTGGATGATATAAACATCATTGGCTCTGACTCTTCTACTATCTCTGATACCAAGTAGCATCTCTTCCGCACCTTCAAAATGAAGGATCTGGGTCCCTTGCAGTATTTTCTTAGTATTGAGGTTACTTCTTCCCTAAAAGGTTATTTTCTGTCTCAAGCTAAGTATGCTAATGAGGTCATTCACTATGCTGGTCTTACTAATCCTAAGGTTGCTGAGACACCTATTGAGCTTAATGTGAAGCTCAACTCTACTGATGGTGTCCCTCTGGATGATCCCACTTTATGTCGCAAGCTTGTGGGTTGTTTAGTTTATCTGACTGTCACTCGCCCTGATCTTGCTTATATTGTTCATGTGGTTAGTCGGTTCGTTTCTACTCCTCGCTCTACCCATTGGGCTGCTTTGGTTCACATTCTTCGCTATCTCAGGGGTACCATCTTTCAGGGCTTACTATTGTCCTCTACGTCCTCTTTGGACTTGGTAGCCTATGCCGATTCTAATTGGGCTGGTGATGTTACTAAGTCTACATCTGGTTTCAGTATGTTTCTTGGTGATTCCTTGATCTCTTAGAAAAGCAAGAAACAATCCGTTGTTGCTCGCTCTACTGCCGAAGCTAAGTATCATGCTATGGCTCATGCCACTGCAGAGATTGTTTGGCTTCGCTGTCTCCTGTCTGATTTGGGTGTCCCCCAATCTTCTCCGTCCTCTCTCTTTTGTGACAACCGCAGTGCTATTTAGATTGTCCACAATACTGTCTTCCATGAACGAACAAAACACATTGAGATCAATTATCACTTTGTCCAACAACATCTGCAGTCTGACTCTATCTCGCTTCCTTTTGTTTCTTCGGCTTTGCAACTAAAGGACTTCTTCACCAAAACTCACAGTACCACTCGGTTTCAATTTCTTCTTAGCAAATTCTTAGTGTTTTCTGCTAAAACACCTTGAGTTTGAGCGGGGCTGTGAGAATATATGTGTATATTCTATATTTGGCATGATTGTGATTGTACATATTATAGGCGTGATTGTATTTTCCTTTTTTGGTTTCAGCGTTAGGGCTATATAATCTAGAGTCTTCTTGTAATCAATTACACAACTGGAATATACAAAAATACAAAAAGCTTACACTTCTATGGTTGAACATTATGATGAAACTTGACTCAAAATATCAACTTAGGCTTTTTGGGATTAGAAAGGTACTATAAGTATGGCTCATATTCTAATCTGCATGATAGGACAAAGCAAATTGAAGTTTATTGCACTTTATTGAGGAGAAATTGAGTTCTAGGCTTATTACACCATTTGTGCAGATTGGGGGAAAACAAGCATATTTCTAGACTAAAGGAGTGTCAAGTGAAGCTTTCTGTAACATTTTGTGCAAACTGGGCACATGAAAAATCATTGCACCAGCTTGAAAGTGAGTGTTGTTCACTTCATGGCAATTTTGTTTTTCATTGAAGTGTATAGTTCTTCATAAACACTATATCATATAAGGGGGCAACACATAAAGCTCTCATGTTCTCCTCTGTACTTCTCATCTTCTTCTGCCACCCATTTCTTTCCAGTCCACCAAGTCCAAACTGGGAAATGGGTGGATAAACCATCAAAAAGGGACACAGACAAATTATCTTCAGCAAGACATGTCAAAAACTGCATCATCATGAAGCACACTAGAAGTGACCTCACCTTGACAACCAACAAGGGGTATGTTGACATAGTTGCTCCCAGTTTTGCCAAGGCCCCCAATAAAAAAACCTGCTCATATAAGAAAGCATAACGTTAGACACTATCAATTTTGGGAAGGCCACTGATTTGGACACCATTTAATTTGATAAGGATAGATTTGTCTTTTGAGACTTGTTGAAGACCACTGTTTTGTAGAAAATTTTCTGTTAATATTTTTTACTAGCTTTAATGTTCTTGTGAGTCTTTGCAAGAAGCCAATTGTCGGAAAACTATTGCAAAGACTCATAAGAATATTAAAGCTAGTAAAAAATATTAACAGAAATTTTTCTACAAAATATGCTTTCCAAGTCTACCATCTCACGGGGGCTTACCTCCAAGGCAGTAACATTATTTATACCCTGTTTGTTAGAGGAACGTTTGGCCCTCAGATGCTTTAAGGAGCTCTCATAAATCATGAATTGGATCGACGGATTGCATACCTAGCATATAGTAATCCTCAGTATAGTATCGGTAACTTAAAAACTGCATCTAAAATTAATTTAATTAAAAAAAACTAACCATGATTAGAGTGGGGATGATGCCTTTCCAAAATCCAGTAATTCCTGCTTCATTATAAACCTCACGTGCCTACGAACGATGTACACACACATATAACAAAGATTAAACACCAAACAAAAATTATTTGTAAAAAAAGAAAAACAAAAAGAAGAAATACCAAGAGGTAAATAACATGAACATCCAAAAATATTCAAAGCACTAAAATTAATGTGCATAACATTGTTCTAAGTTTTTGGTGCCAACTGCCAACCATGGCAATGTCAAAAATATCCTCCATAGTGACCATCATGGTCATTGAGTTGTATCTGGCACCTTAAGACACTACACCTAGCCTAATTGCACCAAGCATCACATGACAATGCCTAACTTGTGATGTAAGTTGAGTGCAGGAATCACTTGTAGCGACTCCCAACTTTGATGTGTGGCAGGTAATAGTAGGCTTTGGGGTCTAAAAGGTTAGCAACAAATATAGGGTTTTGCCAAATGATTTGTATGGGTCACAAAGAGTAAGGTTTTTGAGAATGACAAGGCAAAAATTTAGAGACGGTTCAAAGATTATTCCGAGTGTTAATAGCATCTGTTAAAAGTGACGAGCTGCTTGTATTAATTTTGCACTGTTGAGGTTGGAGTTTAGCTTAGAAATTACGATGTCTAAGAGTCAAAAGAAAGGCTTTAATAGATCTATTAGGTGGTTCAAAAGGCTAAAAGCACACAAAAACAAAAGAAAAAGAAGAAAAAAAACCTACGCATCACAACTAGTCTCACAGGCAATGGTGGGACTAAGGATGGTTGAGGGCTATGAAGCACAGGCATGGACATGTGACACGGCACGGACATGTGACACGACACGGACACGCAAATTTTCAAAAAAATAGGGGACACAACACACTAGGGACACGTCCGATATATATAATTAAATTTATTTATTATATATCATAAAATTATAAAAAAAATTCATTAAAAGTAATAAAAAATATAAAATAACACTATTAAAAATTAGTTTCTATAATAAAATTAATAAACACATGTTATTAAAATTAACAATATTAATCAATATATATATACTTCAAATAATAGAGGTACAGAGAGAAAAGAAAATACAAAATGAAATCAGAAAAAAAAAATAAAAATAACAGATTGAGAGAGATAGATGTTACACTCCCATTCCACTGACCATATAAAAGAAAAATAAACAAATAAAAAACGAAAATAAAAGTTCAAAGCAGAGGAGGAGAGAGAGAGAGAGAGTGACTGCGAGACAGGGACTGAGACAGAGGGAGAAAGATCGGAGAACAAGAAGAAGATCGAAGATCGAAGGAGAAGATCGAAGAAGAAGAAGAAGAATCAAGAAGAGCAACAGCAGCGAGCAGCGACCACCGACGAGTGACGACTGATGAACGACCAACGAAAAGCTACTAGGTCTTCTCTCTGTTCTCTCTTTCTCCTCTGTTCTTTGTCGATTTAGGTTAGATATTGTTTTGTTTTTGCTTTTTACAAATTGACCCCCACACAGAAGTTTCATGAATTATGAAATTGACCCCGAACATGTCCGTTACGTGTCCGGCTGCAAAAAATAAAAAATTAAAAAAAAATCAAACACTCTCTGCTGCGTGTCAAACACATGTCCACCGCGTGTCCGTGTCCGTGTCCGACACTGATACGCAGCCCTCGGAGAGGTGTCTGTGCTTCATAGGTTAAGGGGGACCCATGGCCCCTCCTAAATTTTAAAACAATCCCTTTAGAATGACCTTTTCAAGTATACAATATGTTATAATACACCAAATGGCCTCCTAAATTTTTTTTGGTATAGAACATGTGTCCAAAAAAATAGATCAGGCATCTTGTATAAATAAGTGTGGTCCCAATCATAAAAATAAGTCTTTGTCTTTCTATCTTATGCATTGAATGCATTTTTCTTTTTCTTTTTTAATAAAAAATTATCAATACCTAATACAATAATTTCACCTTTAATATAATAATATTAAAAAATTTCCAGGCATGGCTGATCACCAGCCCTTGACCATATTGTGGTCTAGTCTTCTGGACTCTTGGGATTTCCACTATGGTCAACCACATCCATCAAAATTATCAAACATACTATGGGATTGACTAATTAGAACCTCTCTGAGGACTACCACGCTCCACATCATGGTCTAACAATCTTGGACTTTTATGGCCTTCTCTTTTCATGACTCGGTCCTCTCCTTCTCCAAAGACTTCTTCATGTCAATGAAGCTCTTTCAAAACATTTCTTTCATGTTGATGAAAATCTCCCATGGCACTTCAAGTTTCTAGGATATCGCAGGTAGTCCAATGTGATCTCCTCGTGGTACTGACAAGGGTTCTACCTAAGGTTGTACATACAAGTCATGCAATTGTCAACCTAATACTAGTCCTAACACTAGCATCCCCTACCCTCAAATGTCTTAAAATTGAAATATGGAGATCATGCTGTCTATAGGGTCTGGTGAAGATGAAGGGTTCATATTACCATTTAGGTAGACATTGTGGGCTTGTTTTGTGATAATGGAGTTTCCGTGGGCACAACACCAGTGAAGGGTAGGGGGGAGAGGGGTATAAAGATATTCAAAGTTGAATTTTCAACACTGGCTATAGACCTTACATAGGCTTTGTTATTAATATTACTTGTGTATCTACATATGAAAAGTGAAGTAACTACAAAAGAGTGGAAAGGTTTGCATTTAGTTAAGACCCAATTTGAATTTCAGGTTTATAGAGTGGCAACGTGTGAATTTATACATTAGATGTAGATAGTAGCTCAATTATTGAAGGTCATTATTGAAAATGTTTTTATTGATTTTAGAGACATAACGTTGAATTTAAAATTGTTTTATTGCATGTAAAAATAAATAAATAACAATAATCATTTTATGTTGTTGACTTGGTCAACAGTTAACTCTCACTGATACATTTTAATGGCAGGGGAGGTGCATGCTTATTTTAAAACAAGGGGTGTACCTGCCTTAAGGTCGAACACCTCAACAAAGGTCAATACAATTTTTCTTCTTTTATTTTTTGTGGTGGGAGGGAGCCTCATGCATTGGAACTGCTCTATTTTTTTGTGTGTTGGGTTTGGTTTGGTTTGGTTTGGTTTGTTGGTGTGTGTTTAGGGGGTGGGGGCCGTCTTTAAGCGTAAGGCTTAAAGAGAATAAAACCTTCATAATATTTGCTTCACATTTAGAACGAACAATATGTGGAGAAAACATAATGAACAAGAATACCTATGCTCTAATGATGTACAACAATAATGAAAATAAATTTTAAAAATAAAAAACTGACCGCATGCAATGTTCCATAGGGGCTAGGTTTTGTTGAATCAAGTTGAGCCAATTTATCTTGCAAAGTAGAACCTATGAAATTGCTTTCAGAAGCTTCCATCAGCAGAGCCTCCCTTTTTGCCTCAATGACTTTCCTTTCCGCTTGAGTATGTGTCTAAATCAAATGTAAAACACCATGGATTGAATCCTTAATGCATTTCAAAGCACATGGATAATTTATATTTAACCAAGGTAATCACACTAACCATATCAAAACAATCAGAGGGTATGCATGCTTTAAAATTTTCTCATGAAAAAAGGAATTGTGCACAGATCATCAATTATTGTTATTTCAAAAGTTGTAAAATCGGAATGCAAGCAAACTATTTTACAAAAATTGTGGTACATATATGCCATCTGTGAAATGTGAATTGCAATTTCAGGATATAAATACCGCTTTTGCACTGACAGAACAAATACAACATTTTCAAAACCAGTAGTAGTTTTCTAATGATGGGGTCAGACTGCAGCACAGCAGGTAACCATATCCTAAACTCAGAATACATTTCTCAACTAAAACAAGTGTGGAACACTCTGCAAAACATTCAAGTGTAATCCTTCACATAATTTGTTTCCTCCAGTGTTAACAATTAAATAATACATCGATGCAAAAAACTTCTATAAATGATGAACTCCCGTTTTCTGGGAATAATGAGATTCCAATTCTGAAAAACTAATTAACAATCCCATTTTGACAACCAAACAAACTAGAAAACAATTATATCAAGAATAAGAGTAAAATTCTTATAAGCATTTATAACTGTCACACAACATCCAAAATCACCTGCATACGGGTCACAAGAACCCATATTGGGTTTGTCAGTAAAACATTGAAGGACCTGCAAAAAAAAAAATACTTAGCAGTAAGATATCATCCAAACAAATCACAATTTTAATTGGGGAATTTGATTTAACATTGTAACCCCAAAGACCCAATAAACAAACCATCAGGAACATGATAGCCAGGAGAATTGACTATTGTAAACCATGGCTCCATATAACTTTCACATGCACATCCTAATCCCTCGAAAAATGAATAAGATGAAAATAAAGAACGAAATATTGAGATTTATAAATGATTTTTTTACCCAGCAATAGCTGCCACAACAAGCCAAGAAAACATGCCAACAGTACCGTCCCCACGTCCATTGTTTCTATGGGCAATCGCAATAGCCTCAGCCTTGTTTTTGAAAACCTGATAAAAATAGTAATAAATTCCCTGGGAGCATCAGAATGAGAGTGTTAGACTACAGTGAAAATGCTGACATGAAGCACAAACACTACAAGGGTAATTTTCTAGGCCTCTAGTTAGGGAGCTTCTATTTACACATGTTTTTCCTCATTTCTACAACGGTCCGACATGACCCCATAAACTGTCTTCTACATCGGTCTACCATAACCATACAGTCTTCTACAACGGTCTGACACGACCATACAGTGTCTCCTATCCTTTTTTATTTTATGTCTTCGTCTATTTTCTTGTTTTGTTAGTCTCTCCAAACTCAAGTTGGTTAGTTCCTATCCCCCTTGAGTTTGCGGGGGGCTATTAAAATGTACCAAAACCTACCACTACACACTCACCTACTTCACCTACTCTCCACCTACTCCTCACCTACTCCTCACCGACTACACACTCACCCTCTTCTATATATAGGAATCATGAATCATTGTAATATATATCAATACATCAATCAATAATACATCAATTTTAACACTTTTCATGACTCGGTCCTCTCCTTCTCCAAAGACTTCTTCATGTCAATGAAGCTCTTCCAAAACATTTCTTTCATGTCGATGAAAATCTCCCATGGCACTTCAAGTTTCTAGGATATCGCAGGTAGTCCAATGTGATCATAAGGTTGTACATACAAGTCATGCAATTGTCTACCTAATACTAGTCCTAACACTAGCATCCCCTACCATCAAATGTCTTAAAACTGAAATATGGAGATCATGTTGTCCATAGGGTCTGGTGAAGATGAAGGGTTCATATTACCATTTAGGTAGATATTGTGGGCTTGTTTTGTGATAATGGAGTTTCCGCGGGCACAACACCAGTGAAGGGTTGGGGGGAGAGGGGTATAAAGATATTCAAAGTTGAATTTTCAACACTCGCTATAGACCTTACATAGGCTTTGTTATTAATATTACTTGTGTATCTACATATGAAAAGTGAAGTAACTACAAAAGAGTGGAAAGGTTTGCATTTAGTTAAGACCCAATTTGAATTTCAGGTTTATAGAGTGGCAACGTGTGAATTTATACATTAGATGTAGATAGTAGCTCAATTATTGAAGGTCATTATTGAAAATGTTTTTATTGATTTTAGAGACATAACGTTGAATTTAAAATTGTTTTATTGCATGTAAAAATAAATAAATAACAATAATCATTTTATGTTGTTGACTTGGTCAACAGTTAACTCTCACTGATACATTTTAATGGCAGGGGAGGTGCATGCCTATTTTAAAACAAGGGGTGCACCTGCCTTAAGGTCGAACACCTCAACAAAGGTCAATACAATTTTCCTTCTTTTATTTTTTGTGGTGGGAGGGAGCCTCATGCATTGGAACTGCTCTATTTTTTTGTGTGTTGGGTTTGGTTTGGTTTGGTTTGTTGGTGTGTGTTTAGGGGGTGGGGGCCGTCTTTAAAATTTTAATAAAGACTCAAGTCAAAAGAGATAACAACATTTTCTCAAGAGCAAAACCATATTGAAAGCATTATGAAAAGTTGGCGTTAAAGAGAATAAAACCTTCATAATATTTGCTTCACATTTAGAACGAAAAATATGTGGAGAAAACATAATGAACAAGAATACCTATGCTCTAATGATGTACAACAATAAGGAAAATAAATTTTAAAAATAAAAAACTAACCGCATGCAATGTTCCATAGGGGCTAGGTTTTGTTGAATCAAGTTGAGCCAATTTATCTTGCAAAGTAGAACCTATGAAATTGATTTCAGAAGCTTCCATCAGCAGAGCCTCCCTTTTTGCCTCAACGACTTTCCTTTCCGCTTGAGTATGTGTCTAAAATCAAATGTAAAACACCATGGATTGAATCCTTAATGCATTTCAAAGCACATGGATAATTTATATTTAACCAAGGTAATCACACTAACCATATCAAAACAATCAGAGGGTATCCATGCAGTAAAATTTTCTCATGAAAAAAGGAATTGTGCACAGATCATCAATTATTGTTATTTCAAAAGTTGTAAAATCGGAATGCAAGCAAACTATTTTACAAAAATTGTGGTACATATATGCCATCTGTGAAATGTGAATTGCAATTTCAGGATATAAATACCGCTTTTGCACTGACAGAACAAATACAACATTTTCAAAACCAGTAGTAGTTTTCTAATGATGGGGTCAGACTGCAGCACAGCAGGTAACCATATCCTAAACTCAGAATACATTTCTCAACTAAAACAAGTGTGGAACACTCTGCAAAACATTCAAGTGTAATCCTTCACATAATTTGTTTCCTCCAGTGTTAACAATTAAATAATACATCGATGCAAAAAACTTCTATAAATGATGAACTCCCGTTTTCTGGGAATAATGAGATTCCAATTCTGAAAAACTAATTAACAATCCCATTTTGACAACCAAACAAACTAGAAAACAATTATATCAAGAATAAGAGTAAAATTCTTATAAGCATTTATAACTGTCACACAACATCCCAAATCACCTGCATACGGGTCACAAGAACCCATATTGGGTTTGTCAGTAAAACATTGAAGGACCTGCAAAAAAAAAAATACTTAGCAGTAAGATATCATCCAAACAAATCACAATTTTAATTGGGGAATTTGATTTAACATTGTAACCCCAAAGACCCAATAAACAAACCATCAGGAACATGATAGCCAGGAGAATTGACTATTGTAAACCATGGCTCCATATAACTTTCACATGCACATCCTAATCCCTCGAAAAATGAATAAGATGAAAATAAAGAACGAAATATTGAGATTTATAAATGATTTTTTTACCCAGCAATAGCTGCCACAACAAGCCAAGAAAACATGCCAACAGTACCGTCCCCACGTCCATTGTTTCTATGGGCAATCGCAATAGCCTCAGCCTTGTTTTTGAAAACCTGATAAAAATAGTAATAAATTCCCTGGGAGCATCAGAATGAGAGTGTTAGACTACAGTGAAAATGCTGACATGAAGCACAAACACTACAAGGGTAATTTTCTAGGCCTCTAGTTAGGGAGCTTCTATTTACACATGTTTTTCCTCATTTCACACCATTTTTTTGTTCAGATATCACCTACCAAACAAAAAGTAATGGTTCGGATATTCAAACCATGAATTTTTGTTCAGCAGTTGATATATGAACCATTGATTTTTGTTCAATAGTTGATATCCGAAATATATATAAATGAATAAATAAATAATGGATGTGAACTCATAAAAAGGGTGGTATGCAAATAAAAACTCCCCTTTGTTTAATAGTTCTCATAATTTATAGAGTGCGGGTCGTAATGATACTAAATTTCAGTATAAACAATTGTTCAGTAGAGGTAGACCTGTCAATGGATTGGACCATGATATGAATACAACTTTGAATGTTTTCTGCGATTTTATATAATATTTTGATATAATGACCTGTTTATAATCCAATTACATCTAATCTTACAGACAATGAATGAACTTAAATTCAGGTTGATCATGTTCCTCAAAAAACAAAGCCAGGTCTAAAAAAACATGAAATGGGTTCTAGATTACAAGCCAAAACAACCACAAAGAATAACTAAATAATGAGAAGAAAAAAGGAGAGATTTATGGATTCACCAAGAAAGGTAGGAAAAGAAGTTCAATTTTGACTTGTAGCAACTCCAAAAGTCCAATTTTCATTAAAAGGGAAGATGTGAGAGACTGAAGTGGCAAGGTGGTTGAGTGAATGCCCAAGTTCAAATCAATGACCCCAATCATTAAAATAAGTGGAAACTTTTTGCAAGCAGGGAATTTATGCAGTTCAACCAGTCAATAGCCCTGTTTGGTAGAGCTGTGGAAAAGTGCTTGTAGCTTATACCTTAACAGCTTATAGCTTATAACTATGAACATAAGCTGATTTCTGACTTATAAATTAAGCGTCTCCTGCCCACTCAAAGAATAAGTTGATTTCTGACTTATAAAAAGCTATAAGCTGTATTGTTAAGCTAAATCAAACACATCAAAATAACTTAAATTAAACTAAAAGCTGAAATAAGCTGAAATTAAGCTGTACCAAACAGGGCCAATAGCATGAACTAATTAGCCATTTCACAAAACACTAAGGGCTTGTTTGGTAACAGTTATATTTACAATTTTTTGTTTATATTTACATAATTTTTGAAAACTGTAAACAAAAACTCGTTTGCTTTCTATTTTCGTTTTCAAAAAGTTCTAAACAGTTAAATTTTGTAAACAAAAAAAAGTTTGTTTCACTACTTTTATTTTATTTTATCTTCATTTCTTCCTCTTTCTTCCACCCATTCCGACCACCACTCATTACTTATCACTACCGGATACCATTGTTGATGACTACCTCCAACCAAACCTACCTCAGGTACCAACCACCTTCTACTGGCAGTAACCACCTTTGGCCACTACCTCTTGTTGAAAACCACCTTAGGTGGCCTAGTCACCATCTCCGACCACTGGCAATCACTTGCAGCTATCACTTCATTGCTAATCACTTTCAGCCACTGCTAACCACCTCCAGCCACCACCTCCCACAGCAACAACCACCTCCGGCCATCATCTCCAACCGTCGACAACCACCTCTTTTCAATTGTTTTTCAAAATAAAATTTTAAAATACTTGTGTATCAAACTTGTTCTTTTTTTTCGTTGTTACCCAAAATAAACATAAACATTTTTAATGTTCTCCGTAAACTAAAAACAATAAATTTTTTAACCCCAATTGAAATGAACATGAAAAGGGAGACTGAATATCAAATTTTGCTAGATATCCAATCATCCAAACATATTTCAAGCTTCCAAGTAGGGGAAAGGTCCCCATTCTACATATGAATGTATTGTGAATATTCATAAATTTTGAAAGAGGGCCTGACTGCTATTTACCCCTATCTTTTTTCTTGGGGCCCCCACTTCTTTGAACCCCCACCCAGCTAGATGAGTCCCCTCCATTTTCTCTTCGAATGCCTACCTTAATTCCAACTATACCCGTAACCCCAAACCCAAACACTTGACCCCACTCCAACCACCACCTCCGGCACCACTAACGTTGCCTCCGGCAGCCAATCCACAACTTATTCAACGGTGACCTCGTCCCCTCCATGTCCGACCGACGCAAGCGTTCTTCTTCTTCTTAAATTCCAATACCCATTTCATCAACCCTCATTCTCTTAAACCCAACATTCCCATAACCTCCATTAACCACATCAAAGTCTTCAATCTGAGCTTGATTTTGAGAGAGAAAGATGGGAGTGGATAAGAGTGGTGGAATAATGGTGAGACTTTTCTGGGCATACACAGACAAGCCTTACGCTTCTCGTCGGAGACAGATCCTCTCTCAGTACCCTTAAATCAAAGACCTCTTTGGTCTCAATCCTTTGGCTCTTCTTCTTCTCCCCTCACTTCTACCACTGCTGACGGCCCCCTTCCTTTAACGGCAACCTCCCCAGACCCAGCCACGTCGTCGTCCCTATTGGCTCATCACCTCTCGCCATCGCCGTTGTGACCCAGCCATGCTGTCACCCCTGCTCGCCTCTTGCCGTCGCGACCTAGCGATCTCAAACCAAATCTGGAGAGGAGAGAGCTATGAAGCACGGATACTTCAAAAATGGTGACGTATCCGTATCGGATACTTATCGGATACCGATACTCCTCGGATACTCGCGGATACGTCCCAAAATAAACATAAACATTTTTAATGTTCTCCGTAAACTAAAAACAATAAATTTTTGAACCCCAATTGAAATGAACATGAAAAGGGAGACTGAATATCAAATTTCGCTAGATATCCAATCATCCAAACATATTTCAAGCTTCCAATTAGGGGAAAGGTCCCCATTCTACATATGAATGTATTGTGAATATTCATAAATTTTGAAAGAGGGCCTGACTGCTAGTTACCCCTATCTTTTTTCTTGGGGCCCTCACTTCTTTGAACCCCCACCCAGCTAGATGAGTCCCCTCCATTTTCTCTTCGAACGCCTACCTTAATTCCAACTATGCCCGTAACCCCAAACCCAAACACTTGACCCCACTCCAACCACCACCTCCGGCACCACTAACATTGCCTCCGGCAGCCAATCCACAACTTATTCACCGGTGACCTCCTCTCCTCCATGTCCGACTGATGCAAGCATTCTTCTTCTTCTTAAATTCCAATACCCATTTCATCAACCCTCATTCTCTTAAACCCAACATTCCCATAACCTCCATTAACCACATCAAAGTCTTCAATCTGAGCTTGATTTTGAGAGACAAAGATGGGAGTGGATAAGAGTGGTGGAATAATGGTGAGACTTTTCTGGGCATACACAAAGAAGCCTTACGCTTCTCGTCGGAGACAGATCCTCTCTCAGTACCCTTAAACCAGAGACCTCTTTGGTCTCAATCCTTTGGCTCTTCTTCTTCTCCCCTCACTTCTACCATTGCCGATGACCCCCTTCCTCTAACGGCAACCTCCCCAGACCCAGCCACGTCGTCGTCCCTATTGACTCATCACCTCTCGCCATCACCGTTGTGACCCAGCCATGCTGTCACCCCTGCTCGCCTCTCGCCGTCGCGACCTAGAGATCTCAAACCAAATCTAAAGACGAGAGAGGAACAGAGGAGAGAGAAGAAGAAGAAGAGGGCTAGGGTTAGGGTTTTGGGAGAAAAGGACGAAAAAGAACAAGGTGTGGTTGCGATGATGGCGGTGGTTCGGGGTGACGGGAAGGTGAACAGTGGCTGCCAGAGGTGATGGAATTAGGGTTAGGGTTTGAGAAATTAGGATTGAGAAATGTTAGAGATCATGAAAGTTTTGTCATGAAAAGGGTCATGAAAAATTTATGACCCTTAGATTACCTTGATTATTGTGTGGTGCTTTATTGTAAGTGTAATCCAAAGGTCACAAATCTTTCATGACCATTTTCATGAAAGATTTTTCATGATACCTAGCATTGCTGATTAGGATTAGTGGGTTAGGGAGGATGAGGGTAGAAATAAAATTTTATCTTTGAATAAAATTGGAATTTAAAAATGACTAAAAGAGAGGGGGTCCAAACAAATAAGGCAGGGGTAAATAGCAACCCTCATTTTGAAAACTATATTTTAGTGCTACACTAAATTCCTCAAGAAATAAGGGTTGGGCTTATATGTAGTATATTGGCACTACAAAATGGGGCTTAGGGCACCAATGCTTGCGAGAGATCCCACAACAAGCCAACAACAGCAACGACACCCACACAACCGAAACAGTGAGTGTCCAGCCCTTGTGACACAGGTTAGGAGATCGCAGAAAACACACAAAGTGGCCAGCCACAACTCCTTCCTCCTGTTTATGTTGTCTATATAACTTTCTTTGAAAAAATGTAAAAGCAACTAATAGAAAGACTTCAAATATTGGAATATAGGCGCATCTATGGTCTCAGTTTCATATCCCAGCCAATTAGTACAAGTGCGAAACAAGAAATGTACGACCGACCTGTGAAGCAGCTGTTCCAAGCAGAGAAGGCTTCAGGCCGCTGTAAAGCCCTCCCCATCCTTCGCCTCTCACCACCTTATAGTCAGAATAATAGCCGTCGATGAAAACATGGGAATCAACAAATGATAAGAAACTCTTAAAAATACCATAGCATAATGGAAAGTCGACTGGAAAGGTAAACCTTGAAAATTTGAACAAGTGTTCCGCCTGCAACAGGGGGCGAGCGCCCTCCTCTCTTAGTCTTGGCAACTCTCTCAGTCTGTTGGCGCGTATTCACCTGCAAATAATCGGATGCATGTAGCCATTTAGTATGAACAAACGTGAGCGCCAAAAAGAGCGACAAGCTTGCACAAAATTAAGGCGGTCACTACGTTTGCAAAATAGAGTTTTTTTTTTTAAAGTATGAGTGAGTGATGTGTACCGTTTGGAGGGGATAACTGATGATCTGGGCGATGATACCGCCACCAGCTCCCGCCAGCCCATTCACCAATGCGTTAGACATGCCTTCCAATTCTGCACAGATCGGCTAATTTTTTTTTTCTTTTTTGTCAATTTCTCTTCTCCGGTTTCGAGTCTACTTCATCATGTTGTTGATCCCACTCATCCTGTAACCGGGAAGTGGGAAATTGGTAATCCCTTTTCCTTCTGCCTAAAAAGTAAGTATCATCTTGAAACAGTTATAGAGCGGCCGAGCTTGGCGATGATACCGCCACCAGCTCCCGCCAGCCCATTCACCAATGCGTTAGACATGCCTTCCAATTCTGCACAGATCGGCTAATTTATTTTTTTTTTTCTTTTTGTTTATTTTTCTTCTCCGGTTTCGAGTCTACTTCATCATGTTGTTGATCCCACTCATCCTGTAACCGGGAAGTGGGAAATTGGTAATCCCTTTCCTTGTGCCTAAAAAGTAAGTATCATCTTGAAACGGTTATAGAGCGGCCGAGCTTGGGGCGGCGTGTCAATTCTCAGGCTTCAATTGCAGTGTTCCACTTCAATAATGGAAAGATTGCATGGCTACGATGGAGCCACATCGCGTGCGTGGGAAAGGAGATGAATCGGAACGATGTCGTTTTAGACACCAATCTCAACGCTCTTCTCTCTCTTCTCTCTCTCTCTCTCTCTCTCTCTCCTCCGATTCTGCTGCCAACAACAGATGCGATCTCGTTCCCAATTCTCAAGTCTCAAAACTCCATGAACAAGCCTATTTCAGTTCAACAAAAATCAACAAGGAAACCCCAAATCTTCTTCTCTCACTGTGATTTTCTCCAAATCCATGCCCTTTTTTCTTACATACCTCTGCTCTCTACTTCTCCCTCTATCTCTTTCATATCTTTCTTTTAATCATCAACTAATCAAATTATTTATACATTAAAAAATCTAAAAAAATTAACTACAAATTAAACTTGTATACTATCATTTTCTGAAATGGCCTCCTCCGTGGATACTTGGACAGCTTTCTGATATTCGAACGACTTCAGGGGAGCAGTCCGTTTCAAGCCGTTCAAGAAATGAGATTGCCGTTTGGTTTAATTTTGAAATTTAAAAAAAATAAAATAAAAATTTGTGGAGATTTAAAATTTGTTTGACTTATAATTTGTTTTTAAATTATTTTTAATCACTTTTTTAATTTTAATTTTAATTTTTTTTTTCTTTTTCTCCTTCTATATATCAATTAATTATTTTTTCTTCCACTCTTTTATTTTTCTGCATCTTACGTATTAATTAATTCATTTTTTTTTTTTTACACCCATCCATATATTAAAAAAATCATTATGAACTACAAAATTCTAAACCATGAAACTATTTCAAAATATACAACTAATTAAGTTTCTAAATTTTGAAAGCTCTTTTCAAAATTTATCTTTCAAAATTGATTTCAAAACTAAATCAGATGATTTTTTATTTTATTTTTTTGGCTAAAAATTAAAGTTTCCAAACAAAGGAGCCAAGAAAAAATATGGAAGATAACAAATTTGCTATTCATTAATTTCCTTTTTATTTGGATAAATAAAAATATAAAATTAAATTGAATAAAAGTTAAAGATAATGATTATTTTTTGTTAAGGTGAGGCACCAATAAATTTTAAATAGTGATCTTATGAACTATTTGATCCTCCTTTTTTTCTTATAGATCCAAATGTCCTATTTTAGTGTAAATTATATAAAAAGCCAAGCATAAATGCGCGTGTTATGTATTAAGGGATAAATATGAATTTTTTCATAATATTAAAATTACTAAACGTAACGTTTCAAAGAAAATCCTTTAGTGTATTTTTTCCAAACTTAAAAACGTAACATACTAAAAAACTCTTCAGTGTACTTTTTTTCAAACGTAACATAACATTCCAAAAAAAATCCACACTAAAAAAAATTTAATATATTTTTCTCAAACATAACAACATAACACCCCCACCCAGGGACAGAAGGAAGAAGGGATCATGAGGGTGCCCCTCCTCAATTTCTTTTAATTATACTAGTACCTATATATTTACAAAGTGTTTTTGTTTAACCACTGAAAGATTATAATTGTGTCCACTCTAATTTATTTTAAAAAAATTTAAATGAATATTGTCCCTTCTTAATTGAAAAAATATTACTCACAATTTAAGTCTTAGAGTTTACTAATGACATGTTAAGTTACATATCAACTTTTGATGTATTACAGTCGCATAAGGACTCTTAATTCATAAATTAGTCTTACTTTCTTTTCTCTGTTTTCTCTTATTTTTATTGTTAGGGAAATTACACATGTGGTGTTTGTGGATTGTCAATTATGTCAAATTGATCATATAGTTCCAATTACATCAATTTTATACTTTAATTTTTTGCATTATATCAATTTAATACAATTAGTAATGCCCATTAATAAATTGAACATAAATTAAGGGGAAATAAATTATCTATTCAGTATTCTTAAATTGATTGAAGAATTGATATACAATTTTAAATGTATAAACTATGTATATAATTTAGATGCCAACTATCACGACTCAAATCCGCCCGTATAGGTTTAGCATCGTAACTGACCAGTAATCCTGGGATTACCGAAGACTTTTGAGACAGATACAAAACAGATGGTGGTTATGAATAACCAGTTCCATAAAGGAACCTCCGGATCTGGATAACAGATAACAGATATGCTGAGCTTCATGATGGAGCCTCCGGTACGAGTAATAGATAACAAATATGCTAAGTTCCATGATGGAACCTCCGATATTGGGTAACAACTAACAAATATGCGAAGGATGCCACGAATACTTGTCAAAAATTGGACAATCATTCATTGTACAGAACATAACATTTCATAAAACATATCTTATTTCATCATACAAAAAATAAATAAAGTTAAACATAGTTTTACTAAGTTATTACTCACAGAAAGCTGCAGAAGCAGATCAGACAGATTCGACAGATCAAACAGATTAAGTAGACAATAACGCGTGACCTACACAAATACATAACATATACACATTAAAACACAATATTACTTCCTTGATAAAACTAGACTTTTCTTGTCTTTTTCTGTCTAAGTAGCCCGAAGTTCTACTATGCTTGTTATTTCTTATTCAAATGAACCGGGTTCTTATTTCACATATTCTTTCATTACTAAATCCCTCCTTTTCAAATAGACCGATCTCTTACTTGGCTTCTTAATCAATTATTACTAAATTAGTGATTTATTCCTTGACCAGTTAATTTATGTTGATTGTTAGTTTATTAATCTTGTTGAGGCATAATTCTTGCCTAAGAATGTTTGGAAAGTAATGAGATGAAAAATATGAACTAAATGCCATTTTTTCAAAATATACTGAAAAATAGTTGTTCGCTAAAGCGAACTTCTTATCACTCGAGCAGTCTGTAGAGACTACAAAAGTAATGGAACCCTTCAATGTGCACTGAAATGGTAATTATACCGCTCGAGCGATCTGTAAAATTTCAAGATTATGGATTTCTCAAAAACGGCTTCCAACGCATTTTCAATCTTTAAATCCATACTTATCTTGATCAAAGCCATGAAAATACCTTAGAAAATATAAATATTTATTAATTTATAAATTATTTGCTCAAAATCTTGAAACATAATAATTAATTTATTTAAATCAAAACTTTACTTAATTTCAAAATCAAAACCCATGAATTCACGGTTTCTAAAATTTTTCTTCAAAATCAGATGCACAATGAGATTGCATATAATTCGTGGAGCTTAATTTAATTATAACTTTCAAAATCAAACCTAAAATAATTATTTTCTAAATTAACTCTCATAAACTTGATTTTAGCTCCAATTCATCATGTGTATGCTGTTTTCTGACCACACTGCCAAACAGGTACTCAGCTAGAGAACACCGGCAGAATAGATTGCGCCCGAACGACCTGTCACAGAAAGAAAAGACTCCGACGGTGGTTCTTCCACCCGGGGGCACTCCGACGATCAAGTCAATACTTAGTTATCTCTCAAGGATAATAATTAGTACTTAACTCATTAGCCAGAATACAAAAAGCGTAGCTTAGACTCATGAGAGTGCCTTACTTTTATAGTCAGCACTGTCCTAATCCCTGTAGAAGCCTAGCTTCCCTTGGACTCTGGCCCAATGCCCATACTGGACTCTCTAACAGATAAAGATAAACTACTTAAGAGCTTTATCCTTATCCAGACTGAAGTCCTCCCCCATTCTAGGACTCTTATAGCTTATCCGTTTACCCCAGGATTCCGGCATCTTCGCAGACAACCTCGGCCTAGCCGAGATCATCTCGGCATCATGTCCAGGACACGTGGCACCTCGGCTGGCACTTTGGGGCCATTTTGGCCACATGTTGCTACTCACAAAATATGTCCCCACAACTGCCCCCTAGGTTCTATTACCTCGACATCCAGAGGTAATAGAACCTATATCATTTGAATTTATATCACGTCGGCTAAGTTTGTTCTATCCTTCATTACCGAGGTCATCATTCATCAGCTCTATATGTCAAAGACTTGTAGTCTATTTTCTAAAATGTCTTTAGAACCAAGAACCAAAATTTTCAAGTTCTTTAATCGAGATCGGCCCCCAAGCTGAGGTGTTTACTTCATTAAATCAAGAACGCCAAGAGTTTTTACACGCGCGTGAGCTGTCACGCACAGTAACTCAACCGTTTCTGCCACGCGTCTTGTCCCTATTGAACCGTACCTGACACGCGCCATCAGGTCACGTCGCTTCTGCGCATGCCGCCTGACAGACACATCGTCCTAGGCACACTAAATGCGTTTTTACCGCCTTTTCGCATTTTGATCAAAATTTCTCCCCTCTTCTCGTCTTTTCAATTTACAATCTTCGATTTCCGTCAAGCTTTCAAGTTTCTTTCTCTAAAAAATCCCTTACCTCCATTGTTGCCTTCTTCGAGCTTTCTGTAACCACTACGTTCACCTCCTCTGGTAGGGCATTTGCTGTTCCGTTCACTGCCACCGTCTAACTCCGGCGAACCACAACCTCGGACCCAACTGGTGAGTTTCCTTGTTCTTTTTTTTGTGATTTTGTGAATCTGTTCATTTTCCTGCTATTTGAACCTATGGGTAAAAACTCATTTGTTTGTAACTCAATGTTGCTCAATTTTACCTTTTGGATCCATATTCGCACACATGAACTGTTCACATGATATTTGAGGAATTCTGTCACCGTTCCTTAGTTTTTACACATCTGCACACTTTTTACATGGTGTTCTTGATTTTGCTTTCTGGGTTCTGAACCATATACATACTTGTTATTCTGCCACTGTCCTTGGCTTTGTATATCTGTACATGTTTTGTAAAATGTTCTTGAATTCTTGTTTGTCTTCTTGAGTTTGAATCATGTTCTTGTTTCTATTTTCTTGTTGCATTTTGCCAGATTCTTGCCTCCAATTCCCTATTTCCACATAGATTTTAGGCTTGGATTTTGATAGAAACCACTATCCCTAGGAAAATTGGAACAAATTTCCCTAGATCTTAAAAAGCCCTCGCCCTTGCTTCTGTTTAGGGCTTTTGCCGAGGTCCTTTAAACCTTAACAAACCACTTCCCTTTGAAATCCAACACATTCCCCACTTAACTGACATTATGGATATGTTCAGGTGGAGGGTAGACACCCCTGCTAAGCTAGAGTACTTTAGGCAAGAGTTCTCCATCCTTGCCGACGTTCATCTCAAGTTGGCTGGGGATGAGGACTCCATCATGCCCAAAGATGACTCCATGCCCTTCCCAGTAATTGCCTTCATAGAGTGTGGACTTAGGTCCTCTCTTGACATCCTCTTTCGAGAAGTCCTTCACTATTATAAACTCAACCCAATGCAATTAGCCATTAACTCTTATAGAGTTATTAACGGTATTATTCCCTTAGCTAGCCAAGAAAATGCTAGGATAACCCTAGCCGATATCCAATACTGCTATACAATGTGTGGCCTGAAGTCAGAAAAGGGCTATGTCTACTA